GGTGGCGGTGGTCAAGCCCAAGGTGGTGGCAAGCGATCGCAAGGAGGACGTGGTGGACGTGGCCGCAGTGGTAACAATGCTCTTCTATAGAATCAACGTGGTGTCTTGTACCCTCTTGGGCATATATGAATGTTATCGGATGTATGTGGGTCTTCTGCACTAAACAAAAGGGAGATGGTTTTATTGAGAGACACAAGGCAAGATTAGTAGCAAAATGATTCAACCAGGTGCCTGCACAGGATTTCATTGATACATTTAGCCCTGTGGTAAAACCCACTATTGTCAGGTTGCTTCTTTTGTTGGCTTTATCTTCTGGTAGGGTTATCAGGCAACTTGATGTTCATAATACTTTCTTAAATGAAAATCTGTCTGAAACTGTTTATATGAAGCAGTCACCTGGTTATATTGATGCTCAATATCCCAATCATGTTTCCTTGCTTAAGCGTTCTTTGTATGGCTTAAAATAGGCTCCTAGAGCTTGGTTAATAGTTTACATACGTTTTTACTATCTATTGGGTTTCAAGCATAAAAAATGGTTGCGTCTCTATTCTACTACTCACATGATCTGCTTATGTGTATTTTTTTTGGTCTATGTTGATGATATACTTGTGATGGGAAGTGATCAGGATCTTGTGGCTCGTTTGATAAAAGAGTTATATGTTGCATTTAAGATTAGGGATCTTGGTGAACCTGATTTCTTTCTTGGGATTGAAACAATTAAATGTGATGATGGTATTTTACTTTCGCAACAGAGATATATGAATGATATTTTGAAACGTGCTAGAATGGCAGAATATAAAGCATTGTCTACTCCTATCTCTGTTTTGAAATTTATACCCTTCAGTGCAGATTTATATGAGGATCCTACACATTACAGAAGTCTGGCCGGAGCACTACAATATCTAACTCTCACACGCACAGATCTATCATTCATAGTCAATCAATTGTGTCAACACATGCATGCTCTTACAGTATCACATTGGGAACACCTAAAGCGAGTCTTGAGGTACGTAAAGGAACAATTAATTTTGGTTTACGTATAAGAAAGTCAGCATCAAGAGAACATCATGCATTTTCTAATTCTGACTGGGCTGGATGTCCTGAGGACCGTAAGTCCACGAGTGGTTTTGCTGTGTTTCTTGGATCCAACCTTATCTCTTGGGTCTGTAAGAAACACAGAACTGTTGCTAGATCTTCTGCTGAGGCAGAATAAAAAGCTCTAGCAGATGTCTGTGCCGAAGTTACGTGGATAGTCTCCTTGCTGCGTGAGATTAAAGTGTCAGGTATATCCAAAATTATGGTGTGACAATATGGGTACTACTTATATGTGTGTAAATCTCATCTTCCATGCTCGTACCAAGCACATGAAAATTGATTATCACTTCGTTCGAGATAAAGTTACTTCTGGAGACATTCAAGTTAATTTTATCTCTACACAAGATCAACTTATAGACATATTTACTAAATCATTACCTAGTGCTAGATTTTCTTTTCTTAAAGACAAGCTACAAGTTACTAGTATACCATGTGCTTGGGGGGAGTATTATGACTAGTATTAAGACTCTTTGTATTTAAGTCATATACTATTATACTCCCTATCTTAGTTTTCCTATAATTTTCTCTTGTATATATTCACTCAATTTATACAGTTGTAATTATTTTTTATCTAATATAATTTATACATTCTCATCATGATGTCAAAATAATTATCAAGTAAACTTCTCCGGAACTCCACTAGAATTGAAGCCACAAGCACGTTAGTAAGAAAACCAACAATTCTATATAATAATATATGATAAATTTAGATTCTCCATTATTATGTCATCTCTTACTTCACTCATCTAAGAGTTCAATATAGATTATTGAGATACCGCACCTCCTTTTAACCACTTCACAACAAATTTATTATTTGCTTCAATCATGACTTTCTAAAATCCTTTACTCCAAATGAGCTTAAACCCTTGGATAATGAGTTAATGACACAACTTTCTGCTTCCATAGCATTGTATGAGCCAATATTATAGTCAAGTCCTATTAGCCAATTGTTTTTTTTTTTTTAAAGAATTGCTAACCGAATCCCAAAATAAATCCCCACTCCTTACCTTGTCCACAAGTGATTTTAAAACACTCATTCCTATTGAGTTTAACCTATCCATCACAAAGTTTCATCCAACTCAAATACATTTCAAAAAAAAAAAAAAAAAACTTTGTTCTCTTCTAGCACTGTAATTTGTGAGCACTATACTAAGCATATGCATAATAATGAAGGTACAAACCGAAAAGTGGGCTCGAGTGAGTGCAACATGATTCTCGTATCAGAATGTCACGAGTTTGATTATTGTCAACACTCTCAATCAAGCCTATCACATAGAGTCTTCATATTGCGGTTTACGTCATGTGTGATTTGATAGTTATTACACAAAAATTAAGAATGATTACAGATTTTCCTCATCAATAATAATAATAATAATAATAATAATAATAATAATAATAATAATAATAATAATAATAATAATAAAATAATAATAATAATAATAACAACAACAACAATAAATGAGGTGCAATATAATAATGTAGAATAAAACATAACTTGTAATGATTATAGACTTTTTAAAAAAGTTTAATATATATTTTTACTCTGCAAGTATATATTCCGCACAGTTATTTATTTATACGGAGTACTATATAAATTAAATTAATATTAAATTGTAAACATAAGTAAATTTGTATTAATCAATCTTAATACATAAAATAAACAAAAGAGTATTAATTTAAATTATTTTAGAGTATATATATATGTTAAAAGAAAAATAGCTGCACTATAAATTTTAACATTTTGAAATTCCAACTAAAAAGGAGCTATTCTTTAAAAAAAAAAAAAAAAAAAAAAAACCTTCAAATTGAAAAACAGAAAACTCCTTGGCGGTGTAGTGTACGGCGGGAGAGAGTGAAAGGTGGGGACTGATAAAAAGACTAGTTTCAAGATAAAAAGACTATTTTGTACAGAAGCTTTTAACATTCTTTGCTCACGCCGGACCCCACAACGTGTCTTACGTGTTGACTGTCCACTCAAATAGTCAAGCCTCATTTTCATTGACAAATCAATTTTATTTATTAATATAAAAATTTTTCTTAAAAAATAAAAATTAAAGAAACAGTTTACTAGTATAATGTTTCATTTTAAAAATATTTTTTTTAAAAAATTTTTTAATCCTAAAAAAATAATTAAAAATATTTTTTCAATACAAAACAAATAATTTTACACTATAAAAGATTATATTAAAAAAAAAACTATGTGATTAAAAAAACTAAAATAGTTAACACTTAAAAGGCTATTAAAAAATGCTTATTAGCCAACTATGTAGTGTGATGACATCTATGTTATAATTTCAAATGAATGGTCACATGATAGAACTCTGGATATTTAACAAACACTCCAAAATTAATTATATACAATTAATCATATAATTCATTTGTCTCATTATTATGTGTTGGTCAAATCAGCTCTTTTTTCATTGCTTTTTTTTTTTTTTTAGTAATTTTTAATTATCTTTAAATTTAATTTTTGGTGTTTAATAGTACTTTTAATGTAATTTTTAAATATATAAATTTTATATATTGATATTAAACTTAATATTTTAAAAAATTAAATTAAAAATAAATTTAGTCAAATCTTGTTAACTTAACCAGACAAACACAATTGGACGGTAGAGTATTACATTTTATAAGCATATTTAACGGTATTAATAAAAATATGAATTAAAAGAGAGGCTAAAAGTCATAAAATTGAGGGACAGCATGTTATCACTTTTATTCTTTTTGTCAAATTAATTCTTATTTTCATTTTCCAAAAGATTTTTATAATTTTCATTTTTTGTATGTAATACTTTATAAAATTTTTGTGTATATATTTTAAAGAGTTAATTACCGAAATGGTCCCTTGACTATAGCAAAATCACCAATTTGGTTTTTGACTATTTTTTTTAACCAATTAAGTCCCTCAACTTTAAAAATCTCTTAACCAATTTGGTCCTCTATTTGTTTGATCGTTAGTCAACCGTTAAGTTGGGACCAAATTGGTAATTTTGATATAGTCAAGGGACCATTTTGGTAATTAACTTTAAGGGTGGACAATTCGGTTTAGTTTTCTCGAACTGAACCGTACCAAACCGAAACGAACTAATTTGGTTCTGTAATATACCGAACAACCGAACGGTATTGGATTCTTGTATACAGAATGGTTCGATAAAAAACCGATCTGAATTTTTCGGTAAAAAATTGAACTGAACCGAATACCGTTTGACTTTTTTTTTTTTTTAAAATAATAATAATAATAAATAAATAAATAAATAAATATATATATATATATATATATATATATATATATATATATATATATATATATATATATATAGATTTTGAATCCAGTGAAACCCCCCTAGTCAGGTGAGCTGGTGAGTCTTCATCCTGTTCATTTATTTTTGTTTTTGAATGGTTCAGATGTGATGATTTTTTAAACCACGTGCGCTGTGAGCTTTTGTAGATAGGGGTGTTGTTGTCTTTTCGCATTGTCTTTATTATGTTCAGTGTGTATTGTCGCCGGTTTTATTGGGTGTGTACAGAGTTATATTAGGAATGCATCTTTTTTTCTCTCCCCATGCGTCGATCCATTGCTCCTCGTCAGTAGTTTCACTGTAGCCATCGTACCGTATTCTCTCGCTTCATCTTCCTCCGGTAGGTCGTCTGAGTGTTCTTCATGGCGGGTTTGAGCACCAGGTAGTCCAAGCGTTTTATGGGCTCCTCTTCCGGCTCCATTGAAGGTATTCCTATTTACTGATTCCTTTTTTTGTTTTTTTTTTTTTGTTTTTTTTTTTGTTTTTGTTTTTTTATTGGAGTTATTTTTGTTTCTTGCTTGGGTGTTTTAATACTGTTTCAAAGGTGTTTGGTTTTTCATCCAGTTTTTTGTGTGTTTTTTGGCGTCTTAATTCCCAGCGTAATCGGAAGAAGCTTGAGAAAGATTGGAGCTTCATATTTATGGTTTTTATTTTTTATCTGTTTCAATATGTTTTTTTCTTCTTCTGTCATGTGGTAGGGCAAAAATTGTATGTGTTACGATTGATTTCCATTACTTTTCACTTTTCAGTTTGATCTGAGAGTAAAGAAAGTTCAAGCTTGATTTTGATATTGTTTTCTCCTTTTAAAATATCTGTCTATGTTTTCTTTTTTAATCCACAGGTGGAAAGGCAAAGCCTTTGAAGCAGCCAAAGGCTGATAAGAAAGAGTACGACGAGGTAATTCTCAAAAGATTTTTTTTTTTTTTTTTTTTTGGATATTTTGCCTAATTGTCGTTAGCTTCTGCATAGTGTTTGTTTTTTGTTGGAAAACTTTTAAAAATTAGACCTTTTATGTTATGTGCTTATTTGGAGAAATTGGTTTTTGCCTGTAATTTATGGTAAATGAGTGGGCATATCTATTTTCTGTTTGCAGTCAATTTAAGTTTGAATGATGCCTTGATCCTTGGATAATGTTGTAGGGTTTGAGTAATGTGTTGTGCTAATTAAGTCTTGCTGTAGAGCCAATTGTAGTTTTTCTGATTAACTGTTGTTGCAATATTGATTTTATGTTGTACTTTGCGTGTTTGGTTTGGACGTAATTGAATTGTAATTACAACATAATTCATTGAACCCCTCAATTACGTTGTTTGGTTGAAGGACAGAGGTGGCTCGACATTGACTCGCCCACTTCTCGTTACGCTGGTTCGTCGCTGCTGATCCAGGGAGAAGGAGCGAGAGAAAAAGGCGGTGGTGGTGGAGCAAGGTCGCCGTGGACAAGCTTCAATTTGCCGGAAACCCAGCAGGTGAAATAAAACAAGAGCCCATCCTCCATGTATGTATAGGTTGGTATGTGTATATCTAGAGTTGAAAGAGGACGAGGGAGAGACCCCGGAGAGAGAGATGGAGTTGTTGTACATTCCTTAACGGACAGAAAGAGAAGTAAGAAGTTGATGATGTTGTGGTTGGCTTGGCATTTAGAGGCTGAAGGAGAGGGAGACGTGAGAGATGGTGGCTATGGAGGATCGAATGTTGTGTATTATGGTGAATGCAAGTTAGGAAGGAGGTATGTGCGTTTTCAATTATGAGTTTGTGCTTCCCATGTGAGTGCATATTTTAGTGTGTTCGAGATAATGTGCGGGTAATGTGCACCGTTGGTGGTTGGGTGTTCTGGTTCATGCGTATCGACTTTCCAAACATTTATAAATTGTGAGAATTTCTTGAATTCTTATGATAACAAATATCAAATGATTTTCGTAACAACTCAATGCCATAGCTTCTTAATGGTTTTTTTTATGTTTATGTATTAATCATCTTTGTAATGATTTAGTATTAGTTGTTTTTTCTTTTTTCTTTTGTTCTTATATTTAAATTTTTGTTCGTAATTTATTGCCTACATTTATATGTTGGTGTTGTGTATTACACTGAATGCATGTTAGGAATGAGGTATGTGCGATTCAAATCATGAGTTTGTGCTTCCGGTGTGGTTGCATAGTTTAGTGTGTGCGTTAGAGGACTCGCATATGTGCGCTTATGTTGTTTTTAATTTTTGTTTTTTTTTTTGTTATTGTGATGTACGGAAAATATTGTTTGGGTGTTGGGTGTGTGCGTCATTGTGGCAGAGTGTGGGCGTTACATTTATCCGTTGCTTATTTTTATTCGGTTTTACATTTTCAAACAATATCTACTATGCACTTTCTATCTATTCGAAAATGTCAATGTCTACAAAAAAAATGTTATTCATGTAGTTGGGTTTTGTTCTTCCAATAAACTTGCACAAGCCAAAAAGAAAACATACGCATGCAAACGCCTGAAAGAGGCAACGCACACACCCTACCACACAAATGCACAAACACTAACGCTAACATTAATGTACGGCAAATATCAAACACGAACACTATATCTTCATCATGCTTAAGACTCTTATGCAATTTCATGCTTACAATTTGCACACGCTAACCTACATAAGCGCAACCACTATCAAACTACTAAATTAAAAAAAATTATAAAACAAATGGTGCCAAGATCCATTATCAGAAATTCGCACACACCCTACCACACAAATGCATACACTAACGCCGACATTAACGTACAACAAACATCAAATATCAGCGCTATATCTTCATCATGCTTAAGACTCTTGTGAAACTTCATGCTTACAATTTGCACACGCTAACCTCTACATAAGCGCAACCACCATCAAACTAAATTTATAAAAAAAAAAAAAAACAAAAAAAAAAAAAAAACAATTGGTGCAAAGTTCCATTATCAGAAATTCGCACACACCGTACCACACAAATGCACACACTAACACCAACATTAACGTACCGCAAACATCAAACACCAACACTATATATTCATCATGCTTAAGACTCTTATGAAACTCCATGCTTACAACTTGCACACGCTAACCTATATAAGCGCAACCACCATAAAACTAAATTTTTTTTATGCGTAACACTGTACCGGCGTGTGCGTATGCCTGGGTTGAACAACAAAGTTTAGTGTAATGTAATTATAATTTAATTTCTCTATTAATTTGGAAATAATCGTAGAATTCACTATTTAATCTGTATCTAATCAGCTTGGTTGTATTAGTGTTTTGTGTTAGCTTACGTTGACGCTCTTACGGGTACTAACTAATCCTGAGTTGGCTGCTCGTAATCCTATTATTATTTGTAATATGCAAAAAGACAGCTACCCCGTACTACCTTCAACTACATTCGCACACTCTGGCAGTCAGGATTGCACAAACATCCTACATCAAACGCCCAATCACACAAACAACATAACGCTCAAGCTACTAGTGACAAATGCACATACCGATACAAAATGCACACAGCAGCATCTAAACACACAAACCCTTAATCTGTTACTCACAAACAACTTTAACACCGTGCACCCTACACCATCACACTTTACGTGAACCAAGCAGGCACAGACTACCTATGACCATTCACCACTGTCACTCAATCATTTTAGAACATACGGTTCACCACTCAATGCCTATCACGCACACGCCAATACAAGCCAATGCATGGACCTCTAAAAAAAATGCCTCACTAATCAATTAATATTTAGAACGGTGCAGCACATTTGGTAATTTATGTCTGAATATATTTTCCCAATCAAATACTCCTAAATATAATCCAAAAGATTCCAATTAAAATCTATCCATAATTAATCATATCACTACAATTACATTTTAATCCTTTTGCTTTTAATATATCCTTATTTACTTTATTATTATCTTCTAATATCCACCATTCATGTGGAATCAATCAATGGCTATTAAGTGATCTCATGATTTCATATATAATAGGGGGTGCACCGGATTCGCAGCCTATATATATATATATATATATATATATATATATATATATATATAAAAAGTAAATCCAAGTCCCTTACTGCTTGCTTTGCCGTTCAGCTCATATTCTCACGGGTATCTCTCGTAAATGTTTTATTTGATTTATTTATGGTTTGTTATCAAAAGTTCTATATTATATGTTATGGTGTTTACTTAGTCCATATCCAAAGTCTAATATATAAGAAAATAACAATCCAAAGTTCAAAGGGTATTCGGTTCGGTTCGGTTTTTACCGAACAAATTCAGTTCGATTTGAGCTTTTACGGAATCGTTCGATATACAATAATCTATTACCGTTCGGTTGTTTGGTATATTACCGAATCTAACTAGTTTTGTACGGTTCGGTTCGAGAAAATTGAACCGAATTGTTCACCCTTAAAGTTAATTACCAAAATGGTTCATTGACTATAGCAAATTACCAATTTGGTCCCAAGTTAACGGTTGACTAACGATCAAACAAACGGAGGGCTAAATTGATTAAACTTTTTAAAATATAGGGACTTAATTGGTCAAAAAAGATAATCAAAGATCAAATTGATAATTTCACTATAGTCAATGGACCATTTCGATAATTAACTCTATTTTAAATATATAAATTGAGGTGGCAAAATGAAAAATGGGAGTATACACAAATGACAAAGCAAGATATGCGTTGGAATTAAGCGCGTGAAAAGGGGCATTTCGAAGAATTGGTAGTGACTATTGATAACTGATAAGTACAAGGTCAGATCGTAAATGAAAAAACGACGCGTGAACAAACGTCAAATGCGGATCGGATCAACCCCAAGTAATACGTGTCTCCTTATTCCCTTATCTATATATATATACTAGTACTCCACCCGTGCGATGCACGGGATGAATAAACCAAGGAATAAAAAAAAATATTTTATAATAATTTATAAAAATTATTATATTTTTTTTTTGTTTTAATATTTCAATTTTTTATATTAAAATATATTAGAAATGAACAATATATATTTACAAAGTTAAAAATGAATGTAAAAAAAATATAAATAATAACTAATGATTCATTATTATTAAATTAAATTTGAATTCTATAAAATTATGCCCCTTAGGAGTACAAATTGTATACCTTGTAATTGTGATATAAGCTCATAATTTGATATGAAAACTCCACAATATAAATTAATAAAATGCATAATCTTATATATAATATTTTTTTTTGAATGCTATATATAATAATATATATTAAGAAGCATTTTTTAAATATTCATAAAATTAATTACTTTGCATAAAAAATTAAATATGAAATGTATATAAATATCAAAATAATTTTCCTATACCAAGGACATATATTTAAAAATTGCAAATGTAGAGGAAAAAAATGATCATGATCATTTATAGTAACACTTATATTTCTACATGAAATTTTTATCAAAAAGTTTTGTTTGTGAAGTTAAATAAAAACTTCAGGAATGATGTTTACAAAATACAACATACATGATGTGTCAAAAATAAATAAATATACATATATTTATTGAAAAAAATACATTTCAATTATAGGTACCATTATTATTATTAATGGGCAACATTCTAGATAACGAAGGCCTAAGAATTCTAAAAAATGATTATCTCTGCAAATGCAATCCATGCACTTTCACAATGCACATTAGAATATTCTTGATCATCAATATTTTCTACATCAACTTTATTAACTAATATCATTAAAATAACATAAAATTCTTAATTTACATTGTCACTATAAACCCAATAAAATTTTTTAAAAATCATACCATAATATAATTAAAAATACAATAAATAAATCTATATATATATATATACATATATATATATATATATATATATATATATATATATATATATATATATAGATTTATACTACGTATATACATATATTTAGACAGACATGGATATGTAAATTATGCTGTGCAGCCGAATGCACCATGCGCATGGTGCATACGATGCAAAACGACGTCGTTTTGGTTAAAAAATGCGCATCCCACTTAAAAAAGAAATCAGGTTCGATTCCCGGCAATAGCATTTTTATATATCCATAAATTAATAACTATATATCCATAAATTCATAACTATATATCCACAATGAATGAATGAACTAAATATTCACAATGATTGAACAAAATATCCACAATGAATGAACTAAATATCCATAAATTCATAATTATATATCCAGAAATTCATAACTATATATCCATAAATTCATAACTATATATCCACAGTGAATGAATGAAGTAAATATCTACAATGAATGAATTAAATATCCACAATGAATGAACTAAATATCCATAAATTCATAACTATATATCCAGAAATTCATAACTATATATCCACAATAATGCTATTGTCGAGAATCGAACCTGAATTTTTTTTTAAGTGGGACAAGCGTTTTTAGTCAAAACAACATCGTTTTGCATCGTATGCACCATGCGCATGGTGCATTCGGTTGCACAGCATAACTATTGGACAGGATAAGCATCGGCCCAGTTCTTCCAAGCCTTGTAACTAATATTCACAGCCCCAAAACATGACCGGCGGCCCAATATATCAAAGCCCTAAAAACTTACATTTCAGACATTTGAGCAACTATCCTATCTTCTCGCCTCTATCATTTTAGTCTACTCTCTGTATATCAGTTCTGGAAAGCTCACCATAGATACAATGCTAACACTACAAACCATCTCTATCTATCTGGATTTCGCCTTTTCGCCATTTTTTAAAACCATTTTGTTACCATTTACCTCGGAACTTCGATGTAATCGATTCACAACTCCTGACCGATTACAGGGAAGAAAACCCTAACCCTTTTTTTTTTCCCAAAAAAAAACCCTAACCCTTTC